ATCACAGCTCACAGCAACCTCCAACTCCTGGGCTCAAGCGAGTCTCCTGCCTCAGCCTCCCAAGTAGCTGGGACTACAGGCGCCCGCCACAATGCCTGGCCATTTTTTAGTTGCAGCCGTCATTGTTGCTTGGCGGGCCCCGGGCTGGGGATTCGAACTCGCCACCTTAGGTGTATGTGGCTGGCGCCTTAGCCGCTTGAGCCACAGGCGCCGAGCCTCCTGGGACTACAGGCGCCCGCCACAACGCCTGGCCATTTTTTGGTTGCAGCCGTCATTGTTGCTTGGCGGGCCCCGGGCTGGGGATTCAAACCCGACACCTTAGGTGTATGTGGCTGGTGCCTTAGCCGCTTGAGCCACAGGCGCCGAGCCCTTTGTTCGTTCTTTACGAGGTTTTTGTTTCTAGTCCTTATCTTAAACATTGTTATTAAATTTTAAGCTTTTTAATTTTGTGGAGGCAAAAAGCGAAAACCAAATAAACACACATATATGTAAAAAAGATAAATAAAAAATAAAATTTACCTTAGAGAACTTTCCACCTCACCAGGTAAAAAAAATAAAACAAAACAAAACAAAAGCAAAAAAACTATTTCTTCTCAAAGAACCTCCCTGAAAGAAAGAACAAGGCTGGGTGCAGTGGCTGATGCCTGTAATCCTAGCACTCTGGGAGGCCAAAGTGGGCGGATTGCCTACGCTCATGCGTTCAAGACTAGCCTGAGCTAGAGCGAGACCTCGCCTCTAAAAATAGATGGGTGTTGTGGCGGGCACCTGTAGTCCCAGCTACTTGGGAGGCTGAGACAAGAGAATTGCTTGAGTCCAAGAGTCTGAGGTTGCTGTGAGCTATGACGCCCAGCACTCTACCAGAGGCGATAAAAGTGAGGCTCTTGTCTCCCCCCTTCCCCCAAAAAATAAATAAAATGAAGAGAGAACAGTGAGGGAGTCAGCCTCACAGGAGGAAGGGTAACGAAGGTGAGAGCTGCAAAACTCCCACACACAATGGCCCTTTTCATTAGGAAATCCAGAAGAGTTTGTGGCAGAGTTCACTACAAAGCTCTCAGGTTGCACAGAAGTGGGCCTCTTCAGTTATAATTAACATTCGTGGGTGGCATAACACTGGCATACCTGCGGGGACTGTCTTAAAACTATGTCATGACCACAAAGATACTCTGCAAATATGTACTAAATTAATATTGCACTGATAATCTCCTCCCCAAAACTCCTCTTATCAAAAAAGCAATCCACATTCCTATAGCGGACAGAAGATGCAGAAAGCAGCTGGTTGTAAACTTAACTAAAAGGAAAATGTTCTATAAAATCTATCATAGTTTTTTATAAAATGTTATTTAAGGCATAATTATTAGCAAGGGTCACTTTCAGAAACTGAGATGCCATCCAGACTGTCATGTAGTTTAGAGACCAAAACTAGTGCACTTATACATAAGCATACCCTTTAAAACTCTCTATGCAATCTTACTTTTGGTCACAGAACTGGTGTGGAGTACTGACCCATTCATAGGCATAACTTCCCTCTTCAGGAGGAAGTTCTGATTTAACAAATCAGAAAAGATGAGAGATAATGACTTGGGTGGGGTGCCTAGCCTTTCCAGCTGATTTTTATCTAAACAGCACACCACTGTATTCAGCACTCTTTCCTGCTCCAACAGGAAGAAAGGATACACACACACCACTCCCTGCCCTTGCAAGGGGAAAACTGGTTTTCCACAAGAGGTCAGGAAGGGCAACTAGCCAGGACACCAAAACTAAGGATGTTTCCTACCAACCTGCCTTGCTCAACAACAGTTTTGATTGTATTCTCTCCTTTCTGCCTCCCTTTGAGTGGATGCAAGTCTGAAGCTAGAGGCTCGTTCCAAGTCTTAGTTACCCAACTATTTCTGAAAGACCTTCTTGTTATTTAATGTTCCAGAGATGCCTGGATTTTTCTGCCAACAAGCCTTCTGGAAAATTACCAAGGGTTCTAAACTTAGAACGTGGGTCTGGGATCCGGAGTCCTGCAAGGATGCATGGCCTGGGTGGGGCAGGCCCAGGGCAGGGACACTCTGTTGGTTACCTTCCACAGCAGCTCGCACTCACGCTCCTCCAGGGCCTTCTTATGCCTTGCAGTCACGGCTTTGACCTCCGACTGTACGACCTTTGCCTTCATCTCCACCTGTTCTGCCACCGTCTGGGCCTGCTCAATGCTCAGCTGGAAAATCAAAAAACTACCTTGAGAAGGAGGACTGTCATTTCTTAAATAAGACAATTAAATCCGCTTCGCTTCTATCGGCCCTGAAAAGCTAACACCCTGGGTCCCCAGAGCACTTGGTCCACTTTCCTTGGAAAGAAAGCAGGTGCTCAGGGAGAGACTGTTTGATGTGTAACTGAAGGAGCTGCTGGCAAGAGCTGAGCTTCTTTGCATGAGAAATGCCACCTCCATAGTGAGTGTCGGGACTATTAAGAGGTACTCTGACACAGAGAAACCAGTGTAGTTGGGTGACAGCCGAAAACTGGAAATGAGGATCGGATGTAAAATGTACAACTCCGGGCACATGAGCCACTTTCCCAGACTTTCTGGCCTCGTTCCCTGCCTGGGAAGAGCTCCACAAGCGGGCACACTCCTCATGTGAGGGCATTAGCTAGAATCCATCCCATTCTTGTCAAGTCACCAGCAACACAGCTCATTGCAGCCAGAAACAATGCCAAGTGCACATTGGAAACATCACCCAAAGAAACCGTGCTCTGTGGTCAGAGACCACCTACACTCCACCATACACCTCAGCCTGTACCACCAGCCCTAGTCAGTCAGCAGCCAGTTTAATTGGATGTATTATTGTTCATAAAAAATTAATATGAACAGAAGGCATGGTGTTTTCATTAATATTACATGCTATGGGCTCGGCGCCTATAGCTCAACCGGCTAAGGCGCCAGCCACGTACACCTAAGGTGGCGGGTTCGAATCCCCAGCCCGGACCC